TTTGTGTACACTCCGCTGCTGGAGCCACATCCCAGCCCCTTCTGGGGTGATTTCTTTTGGCCATTCTTGAGTTATTGGAGAGACAGCCATCCTTTGTGGTAGTCACATCTCCTGCTCTCCTGTTTCTTGTGCTGTCCCACGTGGGCTGGAAGGACCGGAATGCCTGCAGCACTAACTGTCTTCACGTCTGCCTGCTCTGTGGCACTAGACTTTAGGTGCCTGAAGGGATGGAAATGTGAGGCCCGAGTCCTCCAAATGCAAATCCAGCCCCCTTCCCCACTGTACAGCCCAGTAGTGATCAGTAAGACACAGAACATTAATTCAAGACAAGCTGTTTATGACATTAAGGAGATATGTACTTTTTCCTAGCCACTAAAACTTTTTTAAAAAAATTAGAGATGAATTTTATCAAATTCTCGTTGGAATGTATAATCAACAGTGTTTACTTTTTCTTTCTCCTCTCCTTGAGTTATGGCTCAGTCAGCTTGTGTGTCTGCATTTCCATCGCAGGGCTGGTAAAGCAGTGCGGAGCCAAACAGTCTCAGGGGCTGAGCAAGCAGTCCTTCCCAGATGACTGGAGCCGAACTTCCTCCTTCCTACAAGCAGAAGGTAGGGTTTTTAAATGAGCAGGGTCTTTCCTGGGGTAACAGGGAGACCTTCCTCAGCAGTGCAAGGCAGACCCTAAAGAAAGCAAGCCATTGGGCAGGGCGTGGTGGTACGTACCTATAATCCCACCACTGGTTAGGCTAGCCTTGTCTACATAAAGGGTTCCAGGATGGCCAGAGTTACGAAGTGAGACTTTGTCTCAAATTAGATAAATAAATAAATAATAAATGCCATGGGCTGAAACTAGCAGCATATTACCTATCCCTTCACAGCTCCCCTCCCCAAGGTGTCCCAGCTGCTACACCAAGCTGCCCAGTAGGCAGCTCTGTACTGGGGGCCTGTACTGGCTGTGGACCACAGGGGCGACCCCACAAAGCCCACCATCTGTTTTACTCCCTGTTCCCCACCTCCCTCCTCTTGACTTCGTAGCTCTTTCTACAGCCTTCCATGCACCTGCCCAGGTACCGTTGAGTACCCATGTCTCACTCAGAGTTCACTGAATGTGTCAGTTGGCTTTCCATTACTATAACAAACACCCAAGATAATCAAGCTATGAAGAGGCAAGGAGTTTTTTGGGGAGGAGGGAGACCTCCCTGTGTTTGAGGTTGCAGTTGGCTCCATTGTTTCAGACCTGTGGTCCATTCTTGAGAGAACATGCTGCAAAGCAAAATCACCTGCCTCACGGCTGGAATGTAAAATAGAAAGAACAGGCAGGGGGTCTCAAAATGCCCTTCAAAGGCACAGTCCCAAAGGCCTGAAGACCATTCACTTAACCTAGCCTCTTAAAGGACATACCACCTCCCATAGCACCACACCGGGGATCTCGCCTCTTGCACAGGGGCCTTGAAACCTTATATCTGTAAACTTTGGGGCTTAAGGGTGGTTTACTGTGGGTCCCATTCTGTAAGTTCAGGGCAAGCCCCCTCATAGCCATGGCTCCCCTGTCCCAGCCCCACCCTCTGCCTCTGGAACCCCACTCTCACCCCATCTTAAGGCCTCCAAGACCACTGGACCTTTCATCTGGGCTTCTCCCAAGACCCCAGGCTGGGGTCTACCTGAGTCTACCTGAGTCTGGGGCCCCATCTTCACCATGTCCTCCTTCCTCAACCACACCGGCATTCACTGTGCACACTTCTGCTAAGGCCCAGTTACACTTTTCTAGAAAATGCTTTATTGAACATGGAATCTCCAAAAGTGGGCATGGCTGTTTTATTGAGGGTCTGCAGTCACCTTGGAGGTGAGGAGCATGAGCTCCTTGTTCTCACAGGTGGTGCTAACACTGGTCCCTCCCCACTCTGCCGCCTCACTGGAAGATCTTCATCTTTCTCTTTTGATGGACACTTAATACCTCAAAATGCTGGGACCCTGTGTGGGGTTGTCCTTCCTCACTTGGTGGGGGCGGTCCTTCCTCACTTGGGGGGGGTCTTTCCTCAGATAGTGTTCTATTCTTGCCGGCTATGTTGAAAGATTTGTGGGTTAATATTTTCCTAGAAAAGTCATGCCTTGCATAGAAGTCTCTACACTTTTTAACCTCTTGTTGCCTTGTTATTTTCTTATGAGCTTTAGAACAGCAGCCATGTCTAAGATCTTATGTCCCCTCTAGCTCCCCTTGTACACTCTGCTTTACTGGGCTTCATGGGAGATGGACCAGGGCAGGAAGAGCAGGAAAACATAGAGTAGACATGGGGCCAGAGCCCCAGGAGCAGAGGCTGAGGTCAGAAAAAAAGGGAAGAGGAAGCAGGAAAGTACACAACTGGGCACGGGGGCCCCAGAGACACCAGTTTCCGGGCCTGGACAGCTGGGCAGACAGCAACCTGACCCAAGGAGACCCCAAGAGCCAAGGGACAGGTCCTGAGAGAAAGTGGAGGTATGATGTTATACCTGGGCCAGCAGGGACTAGACTGAGACTTCTGAGTGACTCGGGGTTGGGTAGGCCTCTGACTTGACTACACTGATGCATGGCTGGTAGGGCTTTGTTACAGATAGGAAAGGAGCCCACACATCTGTTGTGACCAGGTCCCCCTAATTGGGTGGATCCCTCCCAAAAATCCCTCTCTCATACCTTGGCAACTGCCCTCTAACCCTGGAATGCTCATGACAGACTCCTTAGAACTCTGGGCCCAAACTTGGTGCATGGGAGAAGTTGGCTACTCATGTGTGAATCCCTTAGTCCCCCATCCCTGTCCCCCTCATGTCCCAGCTTCATCCACATCTCCCATGAGCAGCCCCACTTAGGGAACTACATGTAGACAAGGCCCCCCAAGCCCCGGGGGTGGTCTTGGGCCCCTGTGGTGAGGAAATCCCTGGGTTCCCAAGTTCCCCAGCAGGTGATGTTTGGGGGTCCAAAGGTACACCCCTTAGCCCTATGGCCCCAGACCACACAAGAAAGAGCTATACCCCTGGCCTACGTCTAAGGCCGTCACCCAGAGGAACAAGTGTAACTGGCACATAAGAAATCAATAAACACACACAAGTAAAGCCCTTCTTGTTTATTTTACAATAAACAAGGTTGTTGTTGTTTTTTGCATTGAGTCTGGACTTGCACGCGATAAACGGTGAAAACTAAAAAGAAGTATCATGGTGGACATTTCATGAACAGTTCAGTTACAGGATTATTATGAACTTCTTCCATATTAGTGAACATGTCCCAGACAGCTGTCACTGAGTGTCTCCATTTGCTGTATAAACTACACAGTACATCAAGCACAGTAGTATGCAAGGGCATTCAGAGCTCCACACTCTCAGCAGACCTGGTTAGGCCTTAGAGAATGGAGTGGGCCCTGGAGAGCCTGTGAAAGGCTGCTCCCACTGGAGAGCAGGTGAGTGCTTTGGAATTTGGGCAGGGCAGTCTCATGCCTGCTGGCTCTAGATCTTTTGTCTCGTGGGAAGGTGAGATAGTTGCATTCTGACAGAGGTTTCAGGCTTCAGGCTCAGGACCCTCCACTCCCACAGCTTTCTACCTGTGCTGGGTTTGACTTCCTGGGGACACCCACACATCTGCTCCCCTCCCTGACTGTCCCCCTCAGCCTGCACCTCCCGCAGCTCCACGCACACTGCCTTGCACTCCGCAGGTGCTTGGAAATGCTCCCTGATCGGATGAATGGTGGATGATGAATCCTGTGATGGATGAGGAGTTGCTAGGAGAAACAGCCAGGGCCCCTTTGTCATTTGGGGGACGAGGCTGCTCTCTACAACATGGAGCTCAAAAAGCAAAAATGTAGTGGAGAAATTGGTTGTTTGGTCCAATTGTAGAATTTCACATTGGGTAAACTGAGGGACAGAATCATCAGCCGGCTAGGTCAAGGTCTCTCATGTTGAGACACCCCCCCCCACAGGTGGGGTACCAGACTCCGCCTGAAGCATGTCACTAATTCTTCTTTTTTATCTTTTTTTACCTTATTTCTTAAAACCACTCAAAATGAGATGGGATGGTGACTTATGTGAAGGTGGTCTCAGGATGGGGGTGATCAGAGGCAGGGGCAGGGCAACCAGGGACCTGGGGGTGAGTAAGGGGAGGGAGGACCCAGGGGAAGGGGAGGGGCTTGGAGGTTGGTGGGAGGCGACAGGACTTTTGGGAGCTGGTACAGACCCTCCTCTGCCTGAGGGTGGGGCAAAATGGGGAGGGATTTCAGGATGGGACTGGGAGGAGCTTGTTGGGGACCAAGGTGGGGATCAGGGACTTTTGGTGACCAAGGTAAGGAGGGGCTTGGGCTGAGGGTGATGAATGACTAGGAGAGGGAATAATGGCTCTGAAGAGATACTTGGTGTCAAGGCTTTGGGTGGGAATTAGTAATGAACCTGGGGTTTGGAGGGGTAATGAGGCTGATGGTGTGTGACAACGATGACGCACAGGACCAGTGGGTGGTGACTGAAGACGTGTGTGGTGTGACCATGGTTCAAATGATGGTAGGTGATGATGATGATGACTTATAAGCAAGTACGCAGAGCAAGGTAAACATGGCTCATACTTAAAGCTAAGAGCATAGATTCTCCAAGGGCTGTGCAGCTGCCCAACCCCCAACAACAAAAGTTGCGAAGCTACACGGCTCCTTCCCGTTTCTCTTTTTTTTTTTTTTTCAAAAAAGATAGATGTTCTTTTTCAAAAAAAAAACCCCCAAAAAACAAAAACAAAAAAAGAGCAAATTCGAACTTCAGAAGCTGGCTAGGTCTTTTGGGATCTGAGGGATAGTAATTCAGCAACACAAACGTAGATCCATGGCTGTGGACAGGTCATATCCCACTTCCACCACAGAACAAAAGGGCGTGTCCGCGCCCGAACCCCCAAAAACAAAAGATCCGAAGCTACACGGCTCCTTCCCGTTTCTCTTTTTTTTTTTTTTTCAAAAAAGATAGATGTTCTTTTTCAAAAAAAAAACCCCCAAAAAACAAAAACAAAAAAAGAGCAAATTCGAACTTCAGAAGCTGGCTAGGTCTTTTGGGATCTGAGGGATAGTAATTCAGCAACACAAACGTAGATCCATGGCTGTGGACAGGTCATATCCCACTTCCACCACAGAACAAGAAAATGCCCCACAAGCAACAATTTCCACTAAACGCTGTGAAAACCTTGGTGAGGGCTGTGTCGCTCGCTCAGATTTTGCCAGGGGCACTTGTGGTTCAAGGTACACTTAAGTCTCAAAGCTAATGTCTCTATAGGGTGAGTGGCAGGCATAGGGGCGGAGCTTGAGGAGTTTGGGGCTAGGGCTGGGGGTGGGGGGCTGCTCAAGAGGCAACTCCAAATGGCACATTTTGACCTAAAGGGGCCAATTTTTCCCAAATGCTGAGCCAGGAGGCTCCCCACTTTGGGAAGAGCAATTGGGATCAACCTCAGTATCAAGTGTACATCCAGGATAGGCCAAAACCTCTCGGATCCCAGGATGAGACCGAGTCCCCATCAGATCCTATTCTCCGGGTCAGGAAGCGTTTTGGTATACACCCCTCGTTCCTAATTCTGTGTTTTAGAGCTAGAGAGGACCTTGGTGGCTTGGATGTTCAAACCCCTCCCTCGAGAGAGGGGTAAGGGGGTGGCCCAGGGTTGGGAAGAGGGACTCGCCAAGGGTCACACAGCGAGTTAGTGGCAGGGCTGGGTCAAGGGCCCAACCTCTGCCCCTTGGTCTGCAGCCAACCCAGGGGCTCTCTCTACCTGACACACAGCCACTACACACTGCAAAGTCACAAATAAATCGGTAAGATCTAAGGGTTGCGGTGTGAGACTGGATGTGAGTGTGAGTCGAGGTGGCTCGCGTGAGGAACGAAAGAGTTTAGCCCTTTTCACAGTGAGTGGTCACGCACAACTCTTATGGTTTCACAAGGACCCTGTGGTGGCAACACCTCCCCCGGCTGGGAGAGGGTCATCAGCACCGAGCCCTGGTTCTGTTACCTTGTTTTTTTTTGGTCTTTTTGATATTTTGAGAATAAATATTTAGAGTTTAGAATAACATACTTATCTCTTTAACTCATTCAGAGATGAAATTCTTATTATTATTTGTAATCATGCATTAATAAAGAGAAAGGGGATTCTTTTAGCATCTTGTCACACAGCAACACAAAGACAGTATAGGTAAGCGTAGCGTTCACTAGTTTCCACACAAAAGATAGCAAGCTCCACCACAAAAATGAGCACAGACCGCATATAGTGAGCTCTGCGGAACCCCGAGAATACAGAGGGGCCTGGGGGGACGCTGCTTAGATCTCCTCGTCGCCAGCCTCCTTGCTGAAGGTGGTCATGTCGATCTTCTCCGGGAAGATGATGTTGACCGCCAGCTCCTCGCCGCTGTTGTACTGAAGCAGCAGATTCTTCTTCTTCCGCACCATGTGGTTGTAGCGCAGGTTGGACACCCAGGCCTCGCACTTGTTGAGGAAGACGATGGCCACGGTGCCCAGCACCACCAGACTGGTGAGCACGCCCAGGATGGTGAAGCAGATGGCCTGACCCTCGGTGAGGAGAGGGGTGCTCTTGTTGAGCTCTTTCATGGACACCTTCAGGATGCGGTGCTCCGGCTGCTGCACCGGCAGCTCGTGCACCCCGGGGGTCAGGCGGTAGGTGAGCCCGTAGCCACTGGGCAGGTGGGTGACCTGCACCGGGCTGGCCCCGCGCTTCTTGGCGCACGTGGGGCCCGTGAACGGGGGCTTGCACAGACACTCGTAGCTCACCTGAGAGTGCTGCAGGCAGGTGCCCCCGTTTAGGCACGGGCCGCCGGCGCAGGTGCTCACCGGGCGGCTGCAGGTCTTGTCCACGAACCCGGCTGGGCAGCGGCAGCGGAAGTCGCCCCCGATGTCGGTGCAGACACCGTCGTTCTCGCACGGGTTGGGGGTGCAGCTGTTGGCCACGATCTCGCAGAAATTGCCTGAGAAGCCAGGGGGGCACAGGCAGGAGGCATGGGAGGCCCGGCCCTCGTCGTCCACGCAGGTACCTCCGTACTGGCAGGGGGACCTGCAACACAACGGGCACGGTAAAGGGGCCCTCGGGGGCCGGGCGGGACTGGGCTGTGGGGGCAGGGGGCGGAGACGGAGCGCCTCTCTCTGCACCTTCCACAGGACCTGGCCAAAGGGCAGTGCTTAGGTCAGGCCAGGAAGGGATGCAGTGCCAGCCAGGGAGGCACCTGGGTCTGGGTCCCCCGGCTGCGAGGGCTCATGGGCTGTCCAAGGGTCGGGGGGCACACCTCACCCTGTCATGATGCCAACCTGGAGCAGACCTGACCTCCCATGTCAGGAAGCCCAGGACCTCTCCCACCTCTTATTCATCTCTCCGGCCTGAAGAGCACTGAAGGACAGTCACTAGACAGTGGGGGAAACTGAGGTTGGGAGAGGCGTTATTGGTGGTGGCCCAAGCTTGGAGCAAGATCCTTCCCCCAGCTCCATCCCTGGGCTGCTGAGGCAGAATCAAGGGATGAAAAGGGTAAAAGGGAGCCTTCCCTCCAGCTCTCTGGGACTCTCCTGGGTTCTGCTCTTGTGGCTCTAGCTAGCATCCCCTACCCCACCCCCACCCCTTATTATTTTTATTTCTGGCAGAGTGGGCCCCCGCTAGCTATTGTGAAGGAAACCCTTGGGGATTCTCAGTGAAAGAAATCTGGGGTTGGGGTTGTGTCTCTGCTGGTAATAGTCCTCCATTCACCCAAGTGCAGCTTGCAAACCAGAGCCCTTTGCTCAAAGCGGAGCACATGGAGTATTTAATGTAAGTACTTTTAAACGAGCGAGCCCTTTGTCATCTGATAAATGGCAAAACTCCAGAGAAAGAAAAGCCCCCACCCCACCCCAAGCACAAGGAATAAGCATTGAGACTGCAGGGCAGCTGGACTCTGAGGGAGCCTGGAGGACCTGGGGCTCTATTTTGACACACTGGTTCAAGTCTGTTACAGAGAAGAGCTAAACAGTTGCAAGGTCTCGCCCTGTGTTCTTCCACTCTCTATGTCAGTAAGCAGCAACAGAGTTCAGTGGTCACCCCCCTCGGATGCTCCCTTCTGAATACGGGTCTTTAGACCCCCACAGTCTCTGAGATTCCTGGATTCTCTCTACAACCAAGAAGACCTGGGCAAAGTGAACTTATTCAGGAAAGACACCCCCCCCATCTCTCCTGGCCCCTCTCTGTAGCCCACTCAAAGGTGAGAACTAGCAGAGCTGTTGGAAAGTGCTGTCTTGGACAGGAGTCGCAGAGCCCTCTCCCCACCAAGGCTAGCCAAAGCTAGTGTCCCCTACCACACCCCCAATCTCCTGACATCCCGGAAAATCCAATTGTGGTGCCCTCAACAGCTCCCTACAATATGGTAAATGGGTTTCATGGCCTGGCCCTGCTGCACTCTGATCTCTTATTGTGTTGCCTTTTGGAAAACTGTGCACCTCAGCTCTTCCGTCCCTGTCCCAGTCTAGTGTCATTCACGGACATAAGGGTGTGGCAACACTAGGGGAATATGAAATCACCTTCAGGACCATTTGTAATTGGGGAAGCGACACATTCCTCCATAACGCCCTGTGGAGCATGTGGTCTCCTGGAGCACTTACTTCCTCAGGTCCTACAGGGTTAGGCTGAAAGGGTCTTTAGGGGGGGCTCAGGCAGGACCCACAGAGTGAGGAAGTATATTTACCCGTTGACCGCGCAGGGCCCAGCCTTGTGCTGGCAGTCCTTTCCAGAGTATCCAGGGGCGCAGGAGCACTCGTACTGGCCCTTCTCCAGGTCCACGCAGGTACCATTGTTGGCGCAGGGGGTTGAGGTGCAAGCCCGGACATCTGGGAAACAAAGAAAACCAGCATTTAGTTTTCCCTTCCAGAAACCAGTGTGACAGGGACCTCAAATGGCAGGGTTTCTAGTAAGAGGGCACAAGACCTCAAGTAAAGAAAGTGAGGAAAGCTCAGTGACCTTCACCTCCCCCAAACAGTGAGCCAGTTGAGATTCCTTAAGAAATCTCTTCCTTCAGACCCAGCGTCCCACATTTAGGGAAGGGGGTCTTTGCCACCTGGGAGCTGGTACAACCAGACACTTGGGGAGAAAAAACAGCTCTTAACACTTTTCCATCAAAGACCCCCATGGGAGTCTAATTTATCCCAGCACTGCCTCCCCACCCTGTGGTCCTTCTGTTTGCAAGTTCTGAACTAAAGGGGCCCAAGGATAAAAAGACTGCCGATTTTGAAGGCAGCAAAATTAGAACAATTGAGTGCTCGCCTGTTCACACAGGGTTCCATGAACTTCTATTTCCACTGTCTTTTAACACCTCCTGTCAGGCTCACTTCATTATTGGGGCTCAGAAAGCCAAGGATGAGCTAAACAAAGGGACCTGGAGCAGGGATCTCTGACTCTGGAGACCTCAGCTTCCCAGCTGGGCCAGGAACCGACCCTTTGTGGCTACTCCAGCCTGCTGTCCCCCAGGGTTCAGTGCCTCTCCGCTGCCTTGGTTTCCTACCATATAGAAGGAAAAGCGCTCCTTGGGGAGCCCCGTGTGTTTGTTTTTAAAAATATGTATATATATATATATGTGTGTGTGTGTGTGTGTGTGTGTGTGTGTGTGTGTGTATTAGAAAGCAAGGCAGCCTGGGGGAAGGGGTTCCTTATGCTAAAGGCACATGTGAGATTTTTTTTCTCCTCTTTTAAAGAGCCTTGTGCCCTGGTGGTTGGGAGACCACCGTTCATCAACATGGAAAGGCACCATGTTAGTGGACTCTCTGCGGGAGCCGGCATGGTGCAAGGAGACATAAAGAGGATTTATCTTTCCCGGATAGCGCCAGCAAAACACTAGTGCGCCACCGAGCCTCCTCAGTCAGCTCTGGATTCTCTGACCCTGCTCTCCTGTCACTAGGAATCTTGAATTTAAGCTAAAGATGTGGTGACCACCCCCGAACCTGTCCCTGCATCTCGCCCAAATGCCAGTCCTCCTGAGCCTCCAACCCCAAGACGGGTGAATCAGCTGCTTCAAAGAGAGGGCTGGGGTGGGGGGACGGGGCGGGGGAGGGGGACAGCAGCTGTGGCCATGCAGGCCATTACCCAGGGGCTATTTCCCCCTGAGACACCCCAACTCTCCAGCTATTTCCACCCACGCAGCCTTTGTGGACCTGATGGAGAGGGGATATGCAGAGGGACCTGTGAGGGAGGATTCTGTCTAGAAAATTCAAGAGGCTGTTCTGGGTTCAGATACCTAGAAGGGTGGGGTCCTGAGTAAAAGTCTAACCCTGATCCCCACCAGTGGCTTTTCTGGCATCCCCTAAACAGCTCAAAGCAGCAAGGGCTGCTGCATCTACAAGGGGCTGCGGAGCTGTGACCAGAGCATGCGTCAGCTGCAGACAAAACCTTCCCCCACCCACCATGCCACCACCTAGGAGGGGTCCTGAGACAATTTGGGATCCTTTTGCTTCTCTGGTCCTCAGTGTCCCTATTTGTCACTGCTATTGGGGAGAAAGGTCTGGGGAAGCACACTATCTGCCTTCCTGTGGAGAAATCACCCCCCCCACCTTCCAACACACACCTTATACCCCAGGACTTCAGTTAGTCTGGACTTTGGGAACAGGTTTTGCAAATGAGAATGGATTCCCACAACAATGCAGCTCTCAATTTACAAAGATTGCATAAATTAATAAAATCAACAGAACCTTAACCCCTTTTCAGCCTCCCCCCACTGCCAGCCTCTTGCCACACCTGAACTCCTGAGCCTTGCTGACTTGTGATCCTGACTCAGCCCCTGCCACTCAGCATTGACTCCTGCCCCCACACTTGTTTATTGGCTGTCTTGCTTTTCTTGACGCTTGAGTCCTGAGAAACAGCCCCCCTGCCCCCCCCACCCCACTTCTCCATCTATGTGCCCCAGTGACCTGCACAGGTTGCCTGGGTCTGTGGTCCAGCAGTAGTTTCCAGTGTGCTGTGTGTTTATTTTGTGACTCTTTATCTGACAGGCAACTTCCCAGACCCCCATGTCTGGGTGCAGGCAGCATCCAGGGGAACAAAACAGAGTCCCTACATTTGAGGAGTTATTTGGGCCCAGCAGGAAGTATACATACATACAGATCCCTACAATAGAGAGCCTTGGACATTCTGGAGTAAGGCTGAAGGAGAGGGGAGAGAAGGGAGCTGGCAACTGGGAGGACAGGGAACAGGGGTGAGGTGGGGGACCAAGGCCAGTGCCCACCTATGTCACAGAGTTTCCCGTCCCAGCCATCCTTGCAAGTGCACTGCCAGGGCTCTTCGCAGAGTCCATTGACGCAGCCAGGAATGGTCATGCACTGGTCACACAGGGGACCCTCCCAGCCGGGCTGGCACCTGTGGGGCAAAGGGAAGAAATGGGAACATATGAGGGGAGCAAGGGCCAAGAGGGGGCTTGGGCTGCCTTCTGCAGAACTGAGATCCCTTGGTGGTCATTGAGCAGTGCCAGGCCAGTGGCTTCCAGGGGCAAACACCAGTCACCTGAAAGGAGGTGCTGAGGGGCAGAAACAGGAGGGTCCCCAGAGCCGAGAAGAACTGTATTTGACGCAGTGGCCCGCAACGGTCACACCATGTTAGAGACTCTCCTCCTGCCCCCCCTTTCTGTTTCCTCCTCCCCCCTCCACCAGTTTTCTGCAGAAGCAAGAAAGCTGTGACGCAGTTTTGTGGCAGAGCCCCTGCCTTCACCTAGGCTCCAAGACTCCCCAGGACCCTGCTGTGGCCCCTCAAGGGGCCTGTTCCATTACCTGCAGACATTGTCATCCTCACAGAATCCATTTTGGGGGTCACAGGGTGGGAAACATTCAGCCCCTGAGAAAAAAGAAAGGTTACACAATTCACCCCACAAGACCTGGGGAACACTACAAAGCCCATCTCTCAGCTGGCCCCCTGCCCTCAACCAGGAGGGAGCCAAAGACCCTCTTGGGTCCTACCAGCCTGGCACACAGTAGGTACTGCTCCTCTGTAGATGGCTGTGACTCAACCTACCCAGGAAAACAGAGCTGCGTGTTCCTAGCTACAGGGTGAGCACTGTGTACCCCTTGTTCCTAAGTGCAAAGCAAACACATCTTTTCCCCTAAAGAAAACAGAAGCCCCCACGACCCCCTAAAATGGGAATGTGGGACAGTGGAGGGGCAGCTTTTGACCCCTGGGCAGTCAAGCCCTTGCTTTTGCAGAGCAGAGGGTGAGGGGAGTGGATTTTAAGGTCCTGGGAAAACCCAGATATGTCCACCTGGTTGACCCACAGGTAAAGTGGCTAGATTTCCACCCCCTAAGGTTAATCCCAGTTGAACCAGGCATCCAAGACCTAGCTCCCCATTTCTCCTAACCCACACTGGTCACATTAAGAAACTACGCAACGTTTTATTCTGCAGAGCTTCTGAGATTCCGTCGCAGCTAAGAGATTCTGACACTAATAGGCACCTACTGTATGCATTTATTCAACCAGCTCTTGAGCTGTCCAGACACCCCCCCCAACCACTGGCGCAGTGGGGGCGGAGGGCGCTGCGGGAAGGGGGCAACTCTCTCGCTGCCAGAGACAGATGGCCGCTGCAGACACGAGTGTCGCAGCCCCTCACCTAGAGAAACGCAACACGCAGGAGGGGCTCCAGCGGTGGTCCTGTTGGAAACTGGGGGCTACGGCGGCAAAGTCCCTCCCCAATGGCACCTGAGACCCGTTCCCAAGCACATATGCAAGGGCACCCCCAAAGTTGCACCCAGAACGTTTTTTTTTTAATGGAAGACCTCCAGCGTCACCTCCTTTTTCATACCTCCTCCATCCGCGCAACGACACCCCTCCGAACGCCACTTCTGCGGGGCGGGAAGGGGCTGGGGTCTCCCACCTCCCGCGACTCCTGGGACCCCCGGGACCAGGCTTGGCACGCAAGGGTGGTGCGAGGAGGGCGAGGCGGGCACAGCGCGGGGCTTAGGGTTAGGCGGGACGGGCGGGAGTTGGGGCACTCGGGACAGGACGCGCGGGGGACCGGCGGGGCATCGCAGGCTTCCCCAGGGGGGGCGCGAGCCAGGCCGCCGGGGGTCTCACCATAAGTGCTGTGGCCGAAAGCCAGCAGGAGCCAGAGGACGCGCAGGAGGGCTCCGGTCGCGGTCATCTCGGGGTGGCCGGGGTCGGGGTCCCGGGAGCTGCGGCGGTGCGGAAGCGGATCCCGGCGCCCCGCTGGGCTTCTGGTTGCGAACGCTGAAGGGGGCGCGGGCGCGGGGCGAGGGGAAAGCCAGGGCTGCACCGGGCTGCGCGCTGCTCTCCGCCGCCTCCGAGGAGCTGCCGCTGCGCAGCGCGCGCCGCCTTTTCGTACTGTCTCCCCCCCCCTCCGCGGCCCCCGCCCCCGCCCCCGCCCTGCGCTCACGGGGCCGGCGCCGGCCAGTCCCGGTGACCCACCCCCTCGCGGAGCCACCCCCCACCGCTGCCGCGCCCGGAAGCCCGCTCGCGCACACGGGCGCACTCTTGGCTGGACGGGTACCTGCGCACGATGGGCACGCGGTCCCAGCACAGAGCAGCACGCGGTGCTGGCGCAGGCCCGCTTAGCGGGAGTCGCAGGAATCGAGCCAGGCCGGGCGGCACACCCCAGGCGAAAACAACGGCAGGCACTCGGAATACAGAAGTGCGCGCAGACAGCACAGAAAGACACTTAGGGTCGAGGGTCCGGGACACACAGAGGCCCGGGTCAAAACCCCAGAAGGACCCAGACGCACACTACGAAGATGTGGAATATGCACATGATCACAGACGCACACACGAAAACCGCTATGAAGAGACGAAGACCCCCGACGAGCCTGGCCATAGTGGGGCAGGGGGACGTGCAGGTGCGAGTGCACCTGCCCCACGTACCCCAACACACACTACAACTCTAGTACACTGCGCCTAATAGGGTACAGGCCACAGGCCCAGGACAGCCAGAGAACTGCCCGATGTGCTCCAGGCAGCCGACGCGCCAGCTATGAGATGCTGAGCCTCCTTGCGCCTCTGCTGCCCCTCCACGCAGATCGCCTGTAAACACAGGAGACCACTGGTAAACACCGACGACATCGTGCGTCACCCCGCACCTCCCCCCTCCCCACAGGTGCCGCAGTCACAAGTCTGGGCCTTAGTCATACTGAAACATAAAAAACAGACTCTTTTCAACATGCACAGCCGTAAGCCTGTTACAACACTTATATCCCCGAACACACACCACGGCTTCTTGGATCCACTCACACATTACTCCAGTGCACACACAGTCGAGCCCATCTTTGTCCACAATGACACGTGCTGACAGTTTTACCAATATGCTCATAATCACAAGCTCACAGTCACACCCAGCAGTCCCACTTTGCTGCTTTCAGTAGGGATGGCTTGGGATGGAGAAAGTGGGGGGTGCCGACTGCCAGATGCCTACTCTTCTGCAAAGCTGGGGGGGGGTTCCCTAGGCAAACCCTTTCCTCTTCACCCCAGCCAGGGTTTAGAGTCCTCTCTGCAGGGAACAGAGCCTTTCACCCTGCTGGGATCCTCACCCCCCCCCCATTCTAGGCTCAAAAGGAGAAAGAAGTCATTTAAGGGGTCAGCGAGGTAGGTAAAGATGCTTGCCACCACCCTTTGATCACCACACGTGCTGCGGCACACATGTGCACACCTCCCATAAATAAAATGTACATAGGGTCATCGAGATGGCTCAGCTGGTAAAAGTGTTTGCAGTCAACCCTGGAAACCTGAGTTTGAGCCCCAGGACTCACATGATAGAAAGAGGGAATAAACTCCAGAAAGTTGTCGTGGGACCACAAACCTCCCATCACAGGCACACACATGCACATGTGCAAACACACATGCGTACATGCACGCACGCGCACACACACACAAATAAATAAATGTAAAAACTTTTAAATGTAGGGGCTGGAGAGATGGCTTAGCGATTAAGAACACTGGCTGTTCTTGCAGAAGACCCAGGTTCGAATCCCAGCACCCACATGACAGCTAACAACTGTCTGTAAATCCAGTTTCAGGGGACCCGACAGCCTCTTCTGTCTTCTGTGGGCACTGCACGACACGGGTGCACTTACCTACATGCAGGCAATACATGCATGCACGTTAAATAAATAAAATGTTTTAAAAAATTTTAAATGTGAATAAATGTTAAAAAATAAAATGTAAATAAATGTAAAAAAATTTCAAAATGTAGGCAAATGGACCTAAAAATTAAATGCAAATAAATGTAAAACAATTAAAGATAAAATATAAATAATAAAACAATTTAAATCTAAATAAATAAAAAGTAAAAATACAGCCATTCAACCACTGGAGAACCGAGGTTAGGATTTTTAGATGGGACATTCAGGTATGCTTAGTTTGCATACATTAATTTGCATTTAGATCCCAGATGCAATGAGTCAGTGTCCATCTAGTCAGTCTCCCTTTTCCCACACTGCATGTGTGTGTGCGTGGGGGGGTAATCTTTGAGTCTTTGAATCTGGGGTGGGAGTACTTCAGCCTGAGGGGGAGAATTGAGGACATTGGGCATGTTGAGGATCTGTGTGGAGAGGCCAGCTAGTGGGAGCCCCCAGGTCCATACACCAGGAAGGTTCAGGCTTTGCTCTAAGCAACCAAGGAGGACAGTCCCCAAGCGCCTGGGGGGAGCGTGTCTTTTTCTTGCATTCTCTACAGAAGCCCTGCCCGGATATAGGTTTGTGGGAATGGCTTCTAAGGCGGCCTAGAGACAGCCATTAGGGTAACCTAAGTTTGTGTGGTTCCACGGACTTCTCCCACAGGTTCTTGTCTCCAGTTAATAAAATGAGACCAGCAAAGCAAATTAGGTTTTCGTTTTGTTTTGTTTTTAACCCAAAGCCCCTAGCTAAAATGAGAGTGTCTGGCAGGCTCCACTGTCTGCTCTGGGGATCACCAAGGTTTCCTTGCCCCCCCCATCTCTCCCCTCCTTCCAAAACCCCTGACCTCAGCCTCCAAAATTATCCCATGTAGTACCGAGCAGCAGGCAGACTGGAAGGGTTGAGCTCCTCGGTCAGCAGCCAAGAAGGGGCAGAGCTGGGGTGGGGGGGTCTAGGAGCTGAGGTATCTACTACCCAAGGCAGCAGAGAAGGGTACATAGCACACAAAGGGGTCCCAGCAGCAGTGGAGTGAACCCTTCAGCTAGACTCCACCTTCCCCTCCCAAGCCTCCTCCTATACCCTGCCCTCCCCAGTGTTGGAAAGGGAGAGGTTGGCCAGGGAGGGCAACCTGTGTCCAAATGTCCCTCGGGCTTAAACTGAAAGGGCACTCCCTTGGCCGATGAGTACCTGCTTTCTAACCCAGCTCCATCTCGTGCCTGCTCAGAGTACTGGCCAGTCACTCTGAGCCATGTTTCCATGTCTGTAAGCAGGGATCACACACCTGTCCCCAAAGAGACCTCAGGGTTTTGTAAGCAGAAAAGCACTGAGCTTCCACAGTCTCCAAACAGAAGGCTGTTCCCAGGGACTTCCATCCCTGCCTGAAGGCTACAGAGATCTTAAAGGGGAGCAGACAGGGTCATTTTAGGAGTGCCTGCAGGGTGTTTTGGGGCTGGTAGTTCTCCGCTTGCCGACCCCCAAGCTCAGTGAGTTTGGGGGGGGTTCGAGCTCAATAAAGCATTTGTGAATGCTGCCGGCTGAAGATGTCTGTGTAGCAGGCAGATGCGAGGAGTAGCTTAAGAGCGTTAGGGAGGGGAGACTGCAGACTGTCACAGACTCTGAGGCCGCATGGGAAGCATGAAAATGCCAATCCAGTCCCTCAGGGAGAAATCCGCACAGTCTGCCATTTGCCAAGCAGATCCTGGGGGCTGGGAGTCACGCCCCCCTTCTCTATGGGAGCACTCCTCCTCTGTCTTTCCTCTCTTCAGACCCCTGAGCTCACAGTGGTGAGGCGAGCAGCCCCTACTGCAAATGCATTGCCCAACCGTCACCACAGCAGGGAGTAGCAGGTGGCCTATACAAGTCACAGAGACCTGCTCACTTTGGGGTCCAATGAGAATCTAGGCTGCCTTAGAGTTAGGCTGTTTCCTTCTTGCCATGCCAAGGACTCTGCAACCCCCAGGCTTTGGTGAGCAGGGGAGGAAAGCCACGGCATTCTGTCCAGCAAGTAAGCTTGCCTAGAGATGGGGGAAAGTGTTCTGAGAGAACCCAGGAGATGTTGATATGATGCCCCTTTCTGGGATTCACTCCCTTCTACACCCTCCCTCTCCGGACCCTATTACAGCCCCCAGCCCTCACAAGGACCACTTTGCCCTTGATTAAAGGCAAAATTGTTGATGGGGGGATCTTAGTGAGGTAGCGTTGATGTGGTCCGAAGACCAGCTGGTCCAGCCTGTATGGAGGGTAGGACAGCTGGGGGCGGGGAATCCACCGCTTTTTGACACCTTGCTCCAGATCGCCACTGAGAATTTCTCTGCCTTGAAGCTTTCTTTCTGCCTAGACTGGGCTGTCAATTTTGGAGGTATCTAATTCTCTACTGATTATTCCTAATAGGACACTGTGTGGATAAATAAACTGAGGCCCAGTGAGATCCCGTGGAGAGGGGAGCGCTCTGTAGCCTCCTTACAGCTTACCTCCTCCATCCTCCCCCTACAAAAGGACACTGGCTCCCTATCACTGCCTGCTGATTTTCCAAGACTGATGCTTAACCAAGGAAAGAAGCTGAGACACAGGCACCGGTTGTCTTGGTGCTGTGGCCTTCACAGGGCCAGCTCCCCCTGACCACCTGCTCAGCCCCACTGGTGAGGAGGAGAGCACAAGTGACACTGCTTCTTCTTCCTCCCCCAGAGCTTGCTCTCCATTTCATTTCCAGCTTAATGCTTTCACCAGAGGCTCCTCACTGCCTGCACCTAGAGGGGCTACCAGACCCATTCCAGAGCTGAGCGCCTGAGCCCTGGGAGACACGAAGATGATCACAGAGTAGCAGAGCTGGGATTTGAATTCTAGCCTACTAGAATCTGAGCCTCAAGCTCTCTGCTCAGAGGATCAACCACAGTGGTAGAGTGAATAGGGCTGAGCAGAGTGGGACCCTCCCCTCTGCCTCCATTTTGGGCGTGGGAGGGGCAGCTCAGCAACCTTGGAGCCTAGCTTGGACTAGGAGGCTGTTGATGTAAACACCAGAGAGATGCCATGCTATGAGCCGGCATCTCCTGCCCTTGGGATATATTTTCAAGCTGCGGGAAACACGGACTGGAGAAGGAAAGTGTCTTTTATTTCCTGAAGAGGGGCGGGTCCGGGAGCGGAGGATGGAGAGGAATGAGAGGTACCACCCTGGAGCATTTAGGCTTGAGAACATGAG